ATAAGTCTTAAAAACTCAGCCATCAGGATTTACAGCTGAGACAAGTGTCGTTTTGAAGCAAAATTAAATAAAGGACAATAAAATGTCCCCATGGGGAGTGTTTGTGAAAGGCAAGGGTAAAAATAAAATACTGAAAGTGCTTGACAGTTATGTGAAGACATTCACTATTTGAGTAAAGTCTACTCTGTCAGTTGTCCCTTTCCCCACAGTTGAGACTCACCATGTGACTCATGCTGGCCTCACACACACACACACAAGGGTCTTCCGGTTTCTGCTTTCCAATCAGCACCAGCGTGCCTGGCCCATACCAAAGTCTTCATTAAATGTGTGTAGATAAAACCGACTGTGACTCTCCTTTTGGAGTAGGACTTTGTGCTGCTTTGGATGAGATTGGCTCCCATGGACTCAGATATTCGGGTGCTTAGTCACTAGGGAATGGAATTGTTTGAGAAAGCTAGGAAGGATTAGGGGATGTATGGGAGGAAGTTTGTGGCTGGGAGTGGACTTTCAGGTTCCCCAATCCAGCACCAGGACAGGTGTGTGTCAGCCTCTGCCTGCTGCCTTTGGGTCAGAATGTAAAGTTCCAGGGTATTGCCCCCGTGCCATGCCTGTCCCCCCCCCGCCGTGATGGTCATGGACTAACCCCCTGAAACTGTAAGCAAGCCCCAGTTAAATGATTGCTTCTGTAAGAGTTGCCTGGGTCATGGTGTCTCATCACCGCAATAGAACAGTAAAAAAAAGACAGGCTGCCGTTCTTTCTCTTTTTTAATAATTTATTTTTGTTTTATGTGCATTGGTGTTTTGCCTGCATGTATGTCTATGTGAGGGGGTCAGATCTTGCAGTTATAGACAGTCAGTCGTGAGCTGCCATGTGGGTGCTGGGAATTGAACCTGGGTCCTCTGGAAGTACAGCTAGTGCTCTTAACCTCTGAGCCATCTTTCCAGCCTGAGGCTGCTATTCTTATCCTCAGAGAACAAATGGAGGAGATTGAGTCCTTGTCCGAGGTCACCCAGTAAGGAACACCATTAAGGGGTGGAGCCCTGGGGGCATCTGGATGTGCCCGACTGTGGGTAGGAGAGGGGACTCGGGTGAACCTTTGGGGTACCAACACCCTCATTTGTTACTCACACTCTCGTTTTTCTACAGGTTTCTCATTATTCAATGAAATCTCCCAACCAGGAAGAGGTAAGTGAAGGGTGCCCAGGAGTCACACCCCTCAGTGTTCACATCGGAGACCTCTGTGGTTGTGATGTCTGGGGACTCTTTGCTTGGCGTTCTCTCTTTCTCTCTCTGCTTCCACTGGGTCTCCCTGGCGGGTGGCTCAGCATGTAAGGTCTCCATGTCCACCGCAGGGACTGCGTGGCCCGCTTTCCATTCATGGCAACCACTGGCTTCAGTTTCAGAGGTCTTAAAGTCCCAGGGCTGAGCATTAGAGGAAGGCTGGCAGGGAGATGGTTCGGGAATGCTGAGGAATCCTTGGGTGTGCATGAGGTCTGCAGCGTTAGGTGGACGGTAGGAGCTGGGGGCAGCCCAGTCGCTGAGGGCCGGGCTTGCGTGCTGGGATGGAGATGGAAGTTCTGTGTGAAGACTGCCCTGTGGGCTGTGAGAGTGTGTAGAGACGGATGGCTTCCTGGTCTTCCTGCCTGGGGCACAGTGGACAACAGTGACCCAGATATGGTCTGTGTGGGGCAGATGATTGGGAGGAGCCTATGTAGATTCTGTGCTAGAAAGGAGGGGCTGCTCATGGCATCCTTCAAGCTTGGGTTGACTCCAACTGGGGTGCTTTCAATGAGCATGCCCCCCGTAGGCTCATAGACTTGAATACTTGGTCCCCACTGGTGGAACAGTTTGGGAAGGATTATGAGGCGTGGCCTGGCTGGAGGAGGTGTGTCAGTGGGGATGGGCTTGCGGGTTTCAAAAGCCTATGCCATTCCCAGTTAACCCTCTCTGCCTGGTACCTACGGTTCAGATGAAGCTCTCAGCTACTGCTCCAGTGCCGAGCATGCCTGCTGCTGTCAGGGTCATGGGCTCACTCTGTGAATTGTAAGCCCCCAGTAAACTCTTTGTTCTATAAGTTGCCTTGGCTATGGTGTCTCTTGACAGTAATAGAAAAGTAACTAAGACACCATCAGTCCACCTGCCTGTTCTTGCTGAGTGCTGGCCAGAGTGCTTGGTGGGACCTTGAGGACAGACTCGATCAATGTCATCGCTTCAGAGCCTGGTACCCTCTGATGTAGGAAGCCAAGTGGGAATGGCTGTCTTGAGGATGGCAAGAGTCCCTGAGAAGGGACTTGGTATAAACTCAACTTTCCCATTGTGGCAGGGCTGTGTGTCCTTTGAGGATGTGGCTGTGTACTTCTCCTGGGAGGAATGGAAACTGCTTGATGACTCCCAAAGGCTCCTTTACCAGACTGTGATGACGGAGATCTTCGCACTCATGTCCTCACTGGGTAAGCGCCCCCCTCCACCTACCACAACCTGTCAGAGCGTGTCTGTGTAGGCTTTCCTTTTTTCTGGAGAGCCTCATCCTTCTCAAAACTGACCTGTGAACACTGAATCTTTCTCCCACTGTCCTGTAGTATAAAACACAGGTTAAAAAAGGCATCTGTTCCACAACAGCTTTGTCTTTTATAATTGCAGCAAAGCACCCAGGAATCAGTTTGGGGTTAGGATATTTTGGGGGTGGGGGTGATATAGTGGGAAATTACCGATACGGAGCCAAGTAGAAATACAGGGGTATTTAATAGGGAAAAGCCTTACTCACAGAGCGACTTAGCCAGCCAGGCTGGCAGCAGTCTGTAAGAGAGCCGAAAGGGGAAAACGAAACTGAAAAGCAGCCCTGAAACTCTTACTCTACGTCACCCTGACCACGCCCTCACAGGCGTGGTCAGGCAGACCTGTAGCTGGCCCTTAAGCAGGCGTGGCTACAGGTTCCCCTACAGGGTGGTTTGAGTCATGGTCTATCTATAGAGTCCTGGTTGTGCTGGACTCACTATGGAGACCTGGGTCTACCTAACTCACCAAGATCTTGTTCTGGATCCTGAGTGCTGTGGTTAATGGCTCTCACACCATGCTCTGTCTGGGGTCAGGAGTCTTAACACCGATGGCTCTTCTTCGACCTGATGACACTGTAAATACTTGGCATCTTTGTGACTTGGGTACTTCTAGGTAACATGCCTGTGTCTGCCTGTGGCAGGAACTGGTGAGCTCTTTGTTGTTGTTCTAGTTGTTTTTTTGGGGGGGGGTGGGGTGGGGGTAGGAGATGAGATAGGGTTTCTTTGTAATTTTGGCCTCAATCTCAAGAGATTCACCTGCCTTTGCCTCTCTGGTGCTGGGATCAAAGGCATGCACCACCATTGCTTGGCCTTCATTTGTTTATGTTTTTAAACTTTTGTAAGACAGTCTTGTCAGGATTGTCCTCATTAGGTGTCTTTCCTATCGATCACTCAGTCCTGGTGCAGAGCATTTACTTTTTGTATCATTTCACTTGAGGACTTGTACCTTCTGGGATCCATGGCGTCACTCAGCTAGGGTCTTGGGGAGAGCCTGCCTTGAGATTCCTGACTCCAGGTATGTTATGATTACTTGGGTGGTGGTGGTTTCTGATGTGTGTCTCTCTTACTTCTGAACCAGAACTGCCCCTCATGGTTCAGTCTCTTACGTTTTGCCCGCTGCCCTGCAACCCTGTGAAACTCGGGCTTTCCTTGACTGCGTTAGTGTGCATTATACCTAGGGCAGTCTGGAATGCAGGTTCTCTTCAGTCACCCTGTCTTGGGGACCTAGACAGCACTGTGTCCTGCGTCTTCAGCAACTAAAGCTTGTAGGCAGCTATCGCTGAAGGGCTGTGTTAAGGTTCACAGCGCTTCTCCCCGTTATTCACCCCGTGCTTGTGTTCTTGCTGTCCCTAACGTCCCTAGGCCTTGTGATGCTGACAGAGCGAGCTTGGCAATGGCTCCTAGCCACCCTGAAGTAGCCCCGGTGTTGTGTGAGCAATCTCAGAACGCTGTTAGTAATAAGCGCTGTGTGCCTGTCGCTCAGCAGTCTCCACGACATTCACCAGTGTTTCTCGCTGTCCAGGTTGTTGGATCAAAGCGGAGAGTGACACAGCCCCCTTTGAGCAGAGTCTTTCTGTGGAAGGAGATCTTCACTCAGCCGTGCCCCAACAGCCAGGGCTGAGCCATGCTGAGCCAGCCTTGCTAAGTGCAGACAGCGCAGTGATCCTCCAGACTTCCTCGGGTCTCCTGGGGCATCGGGTGACTTACACGGTTGGGGAGGCACCCAAGAGCCCTGAGAGCGCAGAGGCCCTGGCCACTGAGAAGAGGAGCTGCATCTGTAGTGACTGTGGCAAAGCCTTTACCAGTACGTCTCATCTTAACCGCCACCGGATGATACACACGGGAGAAAAGCCTTTCCAGTGCAGCGAGTGTGGCATGTCCTTCAGCCAGAAAGCCTTCCTGGTTAAGCATTTCCGAATTCACACCGGGGAGAGGCCCTTCAGGTGCGGCGAGTGCGGCAAGGCCTTCAAGCATAACATCTCCCTGGTTTCCCATCAGCGAGTGCACACCGGAGAAACGCCTTTCACCTGCAGCCAGTGTGGGAAATCGTACGTGACCAGGTCCAACCTAACGCGCCATTATCAAATTCACAGCGGAGGAGAGAAGCCTCACACTTGCGGGGAGTGCGGCAAGGCCTTCCAGGAAAAGTCCAGCCTCGCCTACAGCGCCCGCGTGCACACCCGGGAAAGGCCCTTCCAGTGCAGCGAGTGCGGGAAATCCTTCGGCCAGAAAGCCTTCCTCGTGAAGCATTTCCGAGTTCACACCGGGGAGAAGCCTTTCGCGTGCGGTGAGTGCGGCAAGGCCTTCAAGCATAACTGTTTCCTCGTTGCTCATCAGCGAGTGCACACCGGAGAAACGCCTTTCACCTGCAGCCAGTGTGGGAAAGCATACATGAACAGATCCAGCCTTTTGTACCATTACCGGGTTCATACTGCAGAAAAGCCCTTAGAAACCCAGCCGGTGCAAAACATCATTTAAGAAAAAAAAGAAAATAGATCCAGCCTTGTGGATCGTGTCTGAGGACACACCGGGGGGAAAAGTCCTTCTGAATGTTAGGAATCTGGGAAGCGTTCAAAAGAGTAAAACTTCTCCCCCCACGAAAGACCAGGAAGTTCCCAGCGTGTGTGGGAGATCCTTCGCTGTTAGGTACAGCCTCATTAAACATCAGAGATTTCCCACTGCGGCAAAGCATCACTGTGCGAGCATCACTGTGCGAGGACTGGACCTTCGAGACTTACCAGAGGAAGACTCACACCGGATATAGAATATGCCTATTGTGTGCAGTGAAGGGGAAAACTGTTTTCATCACCTGCTGTGTGCACACACGGGAATGTTCACTGGACAAACGTCAAGAACGTTTCACATGTGAGGAGCCTTCGCCCACACCTCCATCCTATTTAACTGCACAGGTCACAGTGCCGAGATGCACCATGAACCCACCGACTCTGGGAAAGCCTTTGAGCAAATGTCTGCTCTTAGTAGTATTATACACGAAACCCCAGATATGTCTGTGAATGCAGACAAAACTCTGCAGCCATTGGCCAACCTGTTCAGCCTTAGAGGAGAAGCAGGTTTCCAAGAGAATGGCCTGAGAGTGGCCTTTGTGAGGGCGCCATTCAATGAAAGTTACTCAACAAACAAGAACGCGGGGACAAGATGAGAATTATTGTCATTTTCCTAGTCCCCCAAAGTTACTACTTCCTGGGGACTTAGCAAGAGGCAGCCCTACGTTCTTGACTGCGCCCATGTGGAGTGGAGTTTCTTCCATGGTACTGTTTGAATCGGGGAAATCACCATGTCCTCAGTTTAAACAAGACATGGTTTTATTGTTTAGGTTTTTTTCCCCCCCCACTGAACGTTGCAGTTCCTGGAATAAATGATTGTTTGCTGTTTAGTCTTTGTTTCATTGGGGACCAGCTCTGTGTTATGCTCTCATGAAGGAGTACAGTCCATATGTTTTAGGAGTTTGCTGCCTTTCCATGTGTATTTGGACTACACATATGCACATGGATGCATATTAAGTGCATAACTGGTGCCCTTGAGGCTTCCAAAAGGCACTGGAACCCTGCAACAGGAGTGACAGTTGGTTATGAACCACAGCGTTTGCTGGGAGTGGAATCCAGGCCCTCTGCAAGAGCGTAAGTTGTCTTCCATATTGAGCCCTTTCTCTGGCTCCATGTTTTAAGTTTTTAAGAAGTTACCGGATTCAGTTGTAAGTGACTGTGCATTTTTGATTTCCTCCTGCAGTATATCAGATACCATTTCCTCCATTCCTGACACGTTCTAAGTCATGAAGCGTTCAGTTTAGCAATTTTTAAAAGAGGTTCATTTATTATGTATACGTGTTTTCTGCCTGTATGTATTCCTGCACTGGAGAAGAGGGCACCAGATCTTATTATAGATCAAATATATTGTGAACCACCATGTGGTTGCTGGGAATTGAACTCAGGACCTCTGGAAGAGCAGTTAGTGCTCTTAACCTCTGACCCATCTCTCCACCCTCATTTTAGCAATTTTAATACCTATGTATACCTTGGCGAGGTGGTGCAGGCCTTTAATCCCAGCACTCAGGAGGCAGAGACAGCTGGATTTCTATAAGTTCACATCCAGCATGATCTACATAGTGAGTTCGAGGACAGCTAAAGCTACAACAGATACCCTGTCTCAAAACAAAAACAAAACAAAACAAAACAACAAACAAACAAAAAAACCACACAAAGAACAACACAACAACAATTAAAAAACCCCAAACAACAAAAACTATGTAGTAGCATATAATTGTGGTTTTAGTTTTGTCTTATCTCTGTATATTATTTATTGTAAAGCTTTACTTATATTTGTGGGTTTCTGTTATGTGCAACTCACGTATGTCTGGTCAGAAGAGTGGACATCAGAGTCACTATAACTGGAGCTGTGGATGCTCGGAATGGAACCAACTTTCTCTGCAAGAACAGGAAGTGCTGTCAGCCAAGGAGCCATTTCTTTTCTTTTTCTTTTCTTTTCTTTGTTTATATATAGTCTTACTGTGTAGGCTTGGCTAGCCTGGAACTCTCTCTATAGATCAGGCTGTCCTAGAACTCACAGAGATCTACTGTCTTCTGTGTTCTGAAGACATGTGCCATTGTCAGGTCCCAAAGACACTAGGGCCAAAAATGCTACCTGTGGTGCCTATTAGCACACCAAAGCATATGCTGGCTCCCAGGCTCCCTCAGCATTGTAAACACGTGGCAGCCTGGCTCATCTTAGCTCTTCTCAACCTGTACAGTTCTACCCAAATTCTCTAGCTCAAGGTCCCTTCTGATTCCTATATGACTGCCATTTCAGCCATGAGCTGTCTACGCTCTTGGCACTCTTGGTCCCCTCTCTCTTGGTCCCCTCTCTTCTCTTCTCTTGATCTCCCACTCTCTCCTTTCATGGCCTAGTCTAGAATACTGGTCAGATTTAGTCTATACCTTCTTTCCCTGCTCTGGACTCTTCCAGATGCCTCTGTCTGTACTCTCCCTCATATCCACACTAAAACCTTTCCCTTCAACCATACCCCAGAGAGGTCAGTTCTCACTTCACTCACTCAATATTTTTGTGGTTATTTTGTTTATTGTTTTTTCTTTTTGGATCTGTGGGTTCAAGGTCAGTCAGATCTTCATAGTGAATTCCATTGCTATGTAGTATGA